GAATTGCAGACAGGCAGAAATAGAGACGGACAATTGAGTCAAGCGCGGTAAGTAAAGTGCATGAATTGTTGTGAATTATAGCGTGTGTTGAATTTAAAATGACTGTGGAAATTAAGTGTATTGCAAAGTTATATTGAGAAAGAATAAACTAGTTTTATTTAAGAAAGAACTTGTATTGCTAAAGTTTCATCCGAGAGAAATTATACGGAAAATTAACAAACGAACACAGACGTAACAGTATTATGTAAAAGGCCATTTTATAAGGAAAAAAATGACGTCAAGGAAAATTATATTTATGTGTGTGTGTGGGGAGGGGGGTTTAATATAGTGTTAATTGTTATCAAGAAAGGAACTGGCGTTTCATAAACATTTCAAAGTATACACCGTTTCTTGATTGGTTTGTGTTTTTACAGCGTTACTTATAATATCAAAATTAAATATAGGAAAAATGTACTGGCGTGTTATCTCGGAATTTTAAATCATTTTTCGAAATATAGATCTATTTTGGTATAAAATGTTAATAAAATTCATTCTAAAGTATCATTAATAAATAATACCTAGGATATAATGTATGATATATTATTATTTTTAAAGTGTAAGCATGAAATTATCACAAAAGTGCAGCAGATTTCTCTGGATTTTTTATTATCTAGGAGAGTAAAATATGTAATAAAATCCTTTCAATGCATTGTTGATTTTATTTTTCGTATATTGCACACAGATTTTACATTTGAGCTATTTAATTGTATATGCAGAAATAAAACAAAACATACATTGTATAAAGGTCCAAAAGATGATTACACTGCTAAATTTTACTAGTTCGGTTGTTTGTGATAAAAGTGAGAATTTAAATGAATTATAGGTACATATTAATCATCTTCAGAGAGTGTCAAGGAAAATGATTTACGAGAAACTTGCTATTATTACTTAACTAGCGAAAATACCCGGCTTCGCTCGGGTTATTAAGTTGATATATTCTAGATGACCATAGAAGGACAGTAAAAAATATTTAAAAACAATTTATTTCCTAGAAGCATTAAGATGTCTTAAAGAATTTACAGTAAATTAAGAATTGTTTATTATCAATGAACTTTATCATTGCGTTAAATATTCCACATTTATATTTGATTTTACAAATTCCCTTTACATTTCATCGGAAGTATTGCAATTTTTTACCGTTCGATTAATGTCTACCCATTACGACTTTAGTGATGAGGGGGGGGGGGGCAAGGGGTCATGAAACTTTGTAAGTGTAGCTAATGTTAGTATGGTTTATACATTTCATTTTATACTTTTAGTACTTAGACTAACAACAGCATTAGGTTATACTTTTGTTGTTAAGCGTTAAGCGACATAACATAAAAGCCATTATTGGAACGCATTGTTACAAAAACACAATGGCTTTTTCTATATATTAAAAGTTGTTACATAAAGACCACTTCTTTTCTATGTGATTTTTTGCTAGCTTGTCTCATTGAAAAGATGCTCAGGCGCATGCGCGTACCCAAGTGCGTGTCTGTCTGTCTGTGATTTCTATTTGTAATATAAGGAAATACGGCATTAAATGCCATTGATAAATCAAAAATTCATACTGAATGTTATTAAGAACAAAAATATAGTCACTATTAGATAGCTAAGAATGTGTCACTAATACACCAAAAACGTAGTATCGATATTGTTAAAAGGAATAGTATAATCATTGTTCTTTGGGGGAAAATCTGCCACTGTTACACAAAAAGCCGATTCTGCTATTGTTAAGAGAAATAATATTGACTGACTTGGCAACTAAGAAGATATTATTGGTACACCGAAAAGTTCTTACTGATGTTGTTGATTATTCTTGACTTGATAGTACCTCAGACAATTTCATTCATATATCAAAACCTTAGTAAAATATTCACAGTTCTTTTCTATGTGTTTTTCTGATAGCTTACGTATAGAAAAAGATGCGCAATATTTGTAGTATAAAGAATCACTTCTTTCTATCTAGCTAATCTAGCTTGCCTCATTAAAAAGATGTGCACGCGCA